ACACCATCTCCCAAGTCAGCACCAACATCCTTGACTTGCTGGAACTATTGATTTTCAGCATCAGCAATATTTCTCTGGTGATCTTGCCAATGCAATAAGTACTTTATCACCTTCAGAAAGGACAGTTACAATATCCTTACACATGCATTCATTTAGCGGTTTATATTTTTTTCTTTTAAAAAGTGTTTTTTTCTTTTTTCATCACGGAAAGATAATGAAACGTCTACTATCACTCCTGCAATTTTCTTTGAAGGGATTTTCAACAAAAATACACTGAAACTTTATCTTCACAATTTGGTGAAAGTTTCATTAATTTTGTAAACAAAAACATGTTATTGTCCAAAAAAAGCTGGTTATTAATCCCCCACTAACAATACCTTTAATTATCAAAAAATACATGTCACACATATATATGTAATTGTACTGTTCAGAAAAGTGTTGGTCCTCTGATTCATTTTCTCTCACAACACTTACGTGTGACTAACCTTTGTAATGTCATGGTACCTTTATAGAACCTCCAATCCTCACAGTGTCTGTACACTTCGCTGTCTGACTGAATTCTGTATCATGATGTAATGTCAATACAAGAAGCCTTGCCCATTCTTTCATTTTTAGGAAGTGTCTATACAAGGGCAGGAACAATATTGTCTAACCTATTAGGTTATTTTTTCATAAATAACAAATTTGTCCCATTTTTGTCACTGTCAGTTTCTTTGTCCTTTGTTTTTCACTGTATGTCTCCTTGTCAGTAATTTTTTTTGTCTTCCTTTTCTCAGTATTTGTCTTTTTTCAATGTGAGGTTTAGTAATGACTATCCAACCCCCCCNATGTAAATTCTAACCTAGATGTCATACAGACTAATAGCCTGTGGAAACAGCAAACATTTAAATGCCCCCTCCACTACGTTGCATGGGCATAAAAATCAAAAACGCTCAGCGGACAAGATACTTAGATTAAGTAATGGCTATTTACTGGCACATCACAAGAATTCACTCATTGAATCTCGGATAATTTAAGGTTTTATAGAAAAAGTAGAATCCACACATGCTTAAATGTGCATGTTGATTTTTATCAAAATAAATGAACTAGAAATGACAGCCCAAATATACAAAAACGTTTTTGTTTATTGGAACAGACAACATCAAGTTTTGAGAATTTCATTTGTTTTTTCTAAAACAATTTACGGCAAAAACATCTCTTACCACTTTGCGTGGTTCCAAGTTTCAAAATTTTACACTTCCCTTGATAAAAAGTTCCTCAGAATCCTAATAGCAGTACATTGATTAAGTAATTATTGTTAGTGGAGCCTGAACGAGCAATCCAAATATAACAACCATGAGCAGTCAAGGTGCTGAAAATCCGGGGGAAGCAACACACTGGACTAGCACCTTCCCACAGGTTTTCATTGCTAAAGTAGCTTAATTAGCATAAATGTTGCTGCCCTTACTTCACACATCATTCAATTAAGAAATTTAAAAAAAATACAGACAAAAAAGTCAGTAAGACACACAAAGAGCCGGCGTGGAAAGTACCCAACACACTGTGGAGCACTTAACATCGTGGCAAAGACCCGGAAATTCGTACAAAATAAAACGCCTGGTATCAACAACAGCAATGGCTAAATGTGCTAAAATGTTTGTGTGAAGAAGTTCCATTTGTAGGAAGCACAGGTGTGACTTCCTTTTCACATTATCTTTGCAGTGAAGTATTCTTGGAGAGATGTAGGAGATGGGTTACGAGGAGGATGGGACCAGTTTTAATGGATTCCAAATTCTGCAAGGCCTATATTATTTATTGTGTATTTCAAGATTCATCAATCCAAATTTTTATCACTCCACTTTAACAATTAAAATTTTATCAAAAATATTAGGAACTGTTGATAACCCAATATCATAACCTTCACATTACCACGACATTTTAATATTGGATAAGATTTGGGATTTTTTTCTGATTTGTTACTGATATACATATCAAAATTTGTTGTTTAAATTTATTTCTATAAATGTTATTGAATATATGTATACAACTAGATAAGATAATTATAACAGGCAAAGCCGAAATAAATCTTCTCCAGTCATATGCATCTTTTGATGCAAAAAGAATAATTGGCGTCAACAAGAAAACAGTTTGATCAGCACTTATGAAACCTTAAACTAAAATGTTCATTTTTAGATCGATCTTGAAGGAGGGAAAACGAATGATGAATATGTCAACCACTCTCATTATATAACATAAAATAAATCCACTTTTTATCAGAAATTCTTTAACTTCCATATAGATCGAATCCAAAATATATTGAAATATGTTCACTGATTAGAACATTCCATGACTTTCTTGTGAAAGGAAAGAATGAAGACATAAAAATCTTGTCTACATGCCATAAAAACAACAGTTCTGACGTATTCCTACTAAAAAAAGCTCGGATACACGTCAGAATGGTGATAAAATATTCAATCCACATGATCTAAATGCGGGTTGTATTGATCGATCAGCCTTTGTAGGGTTAAGGGATTATGGTAGGAGGTAGCCGCCTCGGACAAGCAAGGCTGTCCCCGAGTCATGTTGTTATCACTCAATAACTCTGAGTGGGACTGCTATCATCTACCACACTGAAACAAGTAAAGCTGTGGAATGCGTAGAACACATTACACCTTTTTTTTAATTACCTAATCAAGCTGCTATCGGTAACCCAAGCCTCCTGCTAGCTATTTGGGTTAAAGGCCCCTCCAGGACAGAATTAGATGAAATGTGTCAAAACATCATTATTGCAACATTATATGTATTTTTCAGCTAAGGACCGGATTTGTTTGTCAGCTTCTATTAGATGCCTTGTCTTTCAAATCAGGTTTCAATATAACCATTGGCAAGTATTTGTGTTTGAAATTGGAATTTCAAAAAAAAACCATAAAATAGGAAAACTCAAGGTCAATTTCTCCTGGAAATTGTCCAACTATCTGGCCATTTTAGCACTGTAAAAAAATCCTTGAAGTATCTGCTTCAATCAAACCTGTTTTAATCTAGATAGCTAATTCATCACATTAGGAATTTTAAATTAATTACAAAAATCAAATTTTTCCAAATTTTTTAAATTATTGAAACTGAAAGACAATGTAAGTGTAAAACATATCCAGCTTTATCACAATGTGAACCAACAGCCAAGATTCTTAAGAATAGATTTTTTTCAGGCTGCATTTAAATTTTAAATTCATGAATCTTTTGACTTGAGCCAGCAAATTCACAAATTATTTCCATCTTCTTTTTCTTCAGGTACAATAACAGAAATGAATAAAATACAATGTTCTAGAAATTCAAAAAACAACAAATGGCTATCAACTTGTACGTGCCAGAAGATAACTATTGTTTAGCAAGTTTGACATTGCTTACATAGGAACACATTTCACCGGGATGTATTATCATCAAAATCTACATAGGTTTGATGAAAGTCCATCAAATATTTTTTTTAAGTCAATTTTATCTCTTGCTTTTGATGTTAAAGTAAAATTCAACCCTACATTTTATCGCAGAGAACAACATTTCAATTACACATCCATACCAAGCAGTCACATCAAAAAGCATGTGAGCGACAATCAACGCTCCAGAGTTTCTAATGACAGAAGCAACGAGTGCCGTCTTCCGGAGATGACATGAACATTCTCCTCCAGAGTTAAAGGGAGAGAAGATCACAGGGTTACAGATGAACAGTTGCACACCCTTGAAACTCTCTCCCCTACCGGTAAAACATGGAACGGTCTGCTGATTGATCTTTACAAGACTAAAGCTAAGAATAGGTAACACAGGTTAGCTTTGCCTGACATCATTGTTATGTTACATTACAAATTACAGAGGAGTGCTACAGACACAGGAGTCTAACCGGGGACACGATCCTTTTATCTTTTCATCAATATCAAACAAGTGTTTTTACATTGTGGCCGTTCCACAGCTGTGTATGACGGGCTGTTTGTTCAAGCGCTCTGTTCTCAGAGCTATTAAGCTCTGTGCATCTTCACATAACACTTGTTTATTTAGTTTTTTTCTTCTTCATCAAATACCATTAAACTAGTCTGGTAGGATATAAGCCATACTGACTTGATGTAGCTCTCAGCTGTGATCTTTGAAAAGTTAAAGTTAAATGTAAAGTGCTCTCATACTCCAAAATATCTGAAAATGTCTCATCATCACCCTTTTTTATCATTACATTATCAAATTAAATACTAATTTGGAATTTCCTTTTATGAACCAAATTCTTTTTGAAAATATATCGCCTATTTCATTTTTTTATTTTATGTTTCGGAGATCTTACAGAATCAGTCCCATATGATTAAGATCCGTGTCCCACTACACGAAAACACTCGACAACTCAAACATGGTTTTTCATAATTACATTAATCTCCCCTTAGTTTCGTTCAGGATATAACTTGTCCAGGTAGCTCATTTGATTACAGCAACAGTATAACAACTTGAGGACCAGGGTTTGAATCTTGGTCCAGCCCTGCAGAAATTTGCACTCAGAACTTTGTTATGGATGATATTTAATTTATTTCATCTTTATTATTTTTCGGGTTTTTGTCAGTGGTATTGTGATCCTTAACTCATACTACACACTTGATTGTTCCCTGTAAGGTACATTATGACATGATAGAGGCAAGGTCACAGACTTGTCCGGGATTAAAAAATATATATATATTGAGACGTATACCATACCAGTACCAAATAAAGATAAATTTAAAAAGTCACACAAAGAAAAACAAAATAAATGAATATACAACATTTGACATAGTGCCCTATCTAGCTAGAATCAGCCACCCTAAAGCACTTAATTTACAACAGTACAGAGATTTACAATTTATACAATCATATACATTAAATAGTTTAATCAATACAATTTTGAGGAAGCTGCCTTATCAGGTGCTAACTACTAGTCCTATGCCACCTGGCTAGTATCTCCCTGCGTGCGTATGCCTACGTGACGGTGTGTCCTGGAGATGTATTATTGTGCTTACCTTGAGGACCTCCTCCTCTGCTGAATGACAGGCAGTCTCCTCAGAGATGTCCCTCAGTTCATCCGTTTCCTTAACACTGTACACTCTGAGGGGATACACCTGTTTTCGTTCCGTCAGGAGAGCAAAGTTCAGGATTTCGCTGACCTAGAAAAAAGAAATAAGTAAATGGTCAGTGCACCTTATCTAAAGCTACTTCTGACCACAGATATTGAAATATGCAGCGAAAGTTCCTTCTATGTTCTTCTTGGGCAATCATATCAACGTAAATTAGGATGAAAAGACCATTATATTTAGGAATATATAAAATGTTCCATGTCTTGTGTGACTCACAAATTTTCAGAATGTTAAAATGAAAATCAAGGAAGAATTTTATAATCTTTAAACTTATTTCAGGGTGGTCGGGTGGCACAGTGAAAAACACACTCGCTTTTCACCAAAGTGGCCAGCATTTGATTCCCTGATCGATGTGAAAATGTATTGGGTCACCTGCCCGACCACATGGGTTTTCTCCAGGTAATCTGGTTTCCTCCCACACTAAGACCCCTGTGCGCTAACATCCGAGCCAAGAAAAACGATTAATATAAGTTGAAATAAATTATTTCATAATTGAGGTAAAATAAATAAATTGTAGATTTCTTGCGAACAATAACATTGTTTATATCACTATACTATTGAATAGCATAATATACATGTTTATCTCTGATGTCACCATCTGGTAGTCATGACAATTAAAGTTGTCCTCAATATTCCTGGAAAGCAGTGGACAAATCATGTAATATGTATTATCCTCTGCATTTGAAATGATGGCATTAATATTAAATCTTTAAGAACAACCCAACTAATAACAATAGTGATGTATTCTGATGCTACAGATGCCAAAATTGATTGTTGCCTCAGGGAGGAATGTATAGTGCATAATACAACATTTATTATTAAGGAATACAAGACATGTTTAATTGAAGAATGAACATGGCAGTCAATGTTTTCGTATCCATGCAACTACAACATGATACAGAAATTGGATGGCTGACACAACTTTTTACACTGAAACAAAATGGCTTCAATTTCTCACTGCCAGAAAGAGGAAGATTTGAAAGCGTGCTACCATTAGACAATACCTAACATTACATGTAGTTGTCTACTTTAATAGAGATTTTGTTTCCGAGACATTATAGCTAAAATGTGAAGCCATTCTACTTCATTAAATGTTCCTAATTCTACTTTCAGAATTCCGTCACTTTATGCCAAGAATGCATGCATGCTACTGTATTTATAAAATTAGCAAATACAAAATGTTAATAATTACCAAACAAATTAAAAGGATATGACTATATCCTTTTACTGACAATAAATCTAAAATCAAATTGACAGAAAATAACAGGATAAAAAGAGTGAAAAGTAATGATAAACCCATATAAGTGTTAAATTGCAAAACATGCAATCAGATTTATATAATCTTCATGGAAAGTACGAGAGATCTGGGAGTAGTATAATATGTAAATTTTCTGTAGCATAATGCTTGTGAACCACCAAGTCGAACTACATCGATATCATATTGTCGATACCTGGTGTATATAGTGCCAAGGAATACCAGCTCCAATACTATACATCACATTAGGAGACACAGTTACATTTTTTCTTTGTTAAAGAGAATCGTGCTCACTCTCACTGGGGCTTTCGAATCATTCAAAACTATGTTGCATTAATCCAAACTGGGAATTTTTCAGAATTATACAGAAAATTCATTTTGTTTACAAAGCATCACTTAAAATACACCATTATTTACAATAAATTAGTTCATTTTAGATGAATCTTTCAGGAGAAAAAAGACTATTTATTTTGTTTTTAATTGGAAAACATTGAAGAGAATTTGGGAAAAATTTAAAACTGTTTTCCATTGGGAATGGGGCCCAAAATTCAGCCCTCAAAAATCCATGCCTGTGCATTAATTTGAATGAAGTTGGAATGAAAGAAAAGTAGACTGCATCAAGTTAGTGTATTTTAAATGTGCTTCAGCTTGTAAAACCAGTCTTGAGGGATTAATTTCTTAATTCCCCCACAGAAAATTGTTCTTCATTTAGCATTTAGAATGTTAAACCCGAAAAACAAGATTTGTGATTGCTTGTTCTACAATAAAACATCTTTACAACCTAGACTCAATTTACATAACAAAAATACCTTTAGTAAAATCTCATTTTCACCATCATGATTTTTCTATTTCTGTTTACGGCATACAATATTGTACAGACGAAAATTATTCCCTTGAACTTTTAATATCAGAAACATGTTTTACTGTCAACAAACATATAAGCAATTAGAAATGAAGGAGTTTGATCCTTTGACATCTAAGCTATTAAGTCTTGGGATAATATCGCTCGACTTACATCTGATACTCAGAGATAATCTGCAGCATGTCAATGACAACCTCACCTTCCCACACAAATATTGCAAGGTATTCAGACAACATTTCCGAGTAATAAAACTTGCTGAAAGCCAGAATGATATAATTTTCCTATGGGTTGAGGATATTTGTGATGTACAACACTTTGGGCCTTCAGACGTAACACTCATTTCACTTTCTGCCCCAGAAGGTGTTCCCTGTTTCCACCAGACTCTGGTCGGCTACTCTATAACTTTTACCAGCTGAAGCAATGAGCCGCTCAATGGCTGTAGTGACAGACTCTCAATGGCTGTAGTGATAAACTCTCAATGGCTGTAGTGATACACTCTCAATGGCTGTAGTGATAGACTCTCAATGGCTGTAGTGATACACGCTCAGTGGCTGTAGTGATAGACTCTCAATGGCTGTAGTGATAGACTCTCAATGGCTGTAGTGACAGACTCTCAAAGGCTGTAGTGATAGACTCTCAATTGCTGTAGTGATAGACTCTCAATGGCTGTAGTGATAGTCTCTCAATGGCTGTCCGATCAGTGGCTGTAGTGATAGACTCAATGGCTGTAGTGATAGACTCAATGGCTGTAGTGATAGACTCTCAATGGCTGTCCGATCAGTGGCTGTAGTGATAGACTCTCAATTGCTGTAGTGATAGACTCTCAATGGCTGGCCGATCAGTGGCTGTAGTGATAGACTCTCAATGGCTGTAGTGATACACGCTCAGTGGCTGTAGTGATAGACTCTCAATAGCTGTAGTGATGCACTCTCAATGGCTGTGGTGATATACTCTCAATGGCAGTAGTGATAGACTTAATGGCTGTGGTGATACACTCTCAATGGCTGTGGTGACAGACTCTCAACGGCTGTAGTGATAGACTCTCAATTGCTGTAGTGATAGACTCTCAATGGCTGTAGGGATAGACTCTCAATGGCTGTAGTGATACACGCTCAGTGGCTGTAGTGATAGACTCTCAATGGCTGTAGTGATACACTCTCAATGGCTGTAGTGATAGACTCTCAATGGCTGTCCGATCAGTGGCTGTAGTGATAGACTCTCAATGGCTGTAGTGATAGACTCTCAATGGCTGTCTGATCAGTGGCTGTAGTGATAGACTCAATGGTTGTAGTGATACACTCTCAATGGCTGTAGTGATAGACTCAATGGCTGTGGTGATATACTCTCAATGGCTGTAGTGATAGACTCAATGGCTGTGGTGATACACTCTCAATGGCTGTGGTGACAGACTCTCAACGGCTGTAGTGATAGACTCTCAATGGCTGTAGTGATAGACTCTCAATGGCTGTAGTGATAGACTATCAATGGCTGTGGTGATAGACTCTCAATGGCTGTGGTGATAGACTCAATGAATCAGGTCTGTAGAACACACATCAAACACTAGATACACAGGTAGCTATCTCAGACTTCCTCTCTGATTTCCAGCCAAGAACAATAAATCAGGCCAGAAAAGCTGTGTTCATAACATCCCTGCGGTCTACAACAACTCTATCTCCTGCACTAGCCATTACATTTAATGATAACCTGGCAACATTATTGTGTCCAGCAAGACCAGGAATTATACTTGCAAAGTTTCCATATTTTGGATGGAGACTTTTGATTTTCCACACATTCTTTTATATTGTTCAAAGATTTCTGCTCTGGGTGAAAAGTTGGCAAATATGAGGTGGCTTCCAGTCAGAAGTATCAGAACTTTGGCTTTCACTTCTGTAAAACGGGAAATTTTTATGCTAAATTTGTATTAGATAAGTCATAAGCTATAAGAATTAAAAGGCAACTGTCTGATGATACCTATCTGTGTTACAATTTAGTACTTGCTTAATTAAGAGATGCTTCCATGATGTTCTTAATTTTTTGTCTGATATCATTGCTGTGCCTTAAAGCAATGACATAGTTTTTTAAATCAATCAATTCTTCACTCAATTAAGTCATAGCGGCAATATTTTGCCTCCAGAATTCTCGGATGCAAAAATCCTTCTTCCTTGAACGTTCTGAGAATTCCCATCAGGGTTGTCATAAGAAAAGGATAAAACTGAATAAAACTCAATTCTTACCAAATTAAAAATCTCCTTGCTGACATTTCTGCACTGGGAAGATGTTATTTATCAGAAGTAATACCTATTTTAAATACCAGCAAAGACAGAAAGAACATAACAGTAGGCCATTATTCGCCTGTATGAGCTGGTAAGTCTATTAGTATTACGATCTTGGTCCCCATAATGCCGCTTCAATGCTATAGCAATGAAATTGTCTGGTAAATACGACCTGGATTCATGCAATCTCCGAACGTAAGCCGATAATAAGAATGACTTTATCTTCAATCTCTTTTACGACTTTTTAAAACAGTTTAATAATTAGACAAACAAAAAAGAAGATAATACATTGACTTCATCTTTAAAGCATTTAAAAATGCCGGCAGTAACTTCAATACTCAGCCAAATAACCCCACTGACCTTTATAATTTCTGTGCTTTAATACTTCAAAAAATCAATGAAATGACAGAAGATGACCTTAAACGAAACCGTTTTAAAATTTTCAGTGACGCAAATCACACAGAAAATATGTTGAAATCATATTTCAATACTCATTTCTGTCCTAGAACATAACCACCGACAATGACATGTAATAATTGAACATAAAACCACACAATGACATCCAGTTTACAGCCCCTATAGATGAAAGGAACACTCGCACAGACGATATACCCCACTTTTATCTCGCTGAGTAAATATT